GTAGACCGGGCTGTGCAGGGACAGGGCCCCAGTTTACAGAGTAGACCAACTGCTTGCTCACTTTCTTAGCGTTCACTCACTTTGCACTTGTTTGGATACTCACAACATCCCTACTTTGCCTTGCTTCGCATTGCCCTGTGTATTTGTGCATTACTCCCTGAACCACACTGTAAAAGTTTGCAGTGCTCTGTTTTGCCTTGTAGCTTGGCGCACACACAAATCCAGACAGCTCGTCTTGCTTGTCAGCAATCGTCAGTCAAGCGATTGGGCATTCAGCTGTACGGCTCAATCCTACACTAATTTCCTTCCTGCACCATGTGCCAGCTTCATGTGTGTTAAACACACTTCATGTGCAGCCTTGTCTCCAAGTTGAAGGGGAGTAGTCTTCAGTCATGTCCAGGAGACTGTCTTCTGCCAGGGAGTCCCAGGGCTTGGGCACGGTCAGGCAGCTGGTCGGAGTGATCAGAGGTGAAGGCCTAGACAGTCCAGATAGAGTTAGGGTCAGGGTTAGCGTTAGCTGTGTGGGTCCTGTGCAAACAGTCCTGGGAGTTAAGAGAACAAAGTCGAAAGCTGTGCAGATATCAGTGAAGGGTCTGAGCACTCACCGTTTTGGGCTGTTCCACTACATCGTTCAAGGGGGTGGGCCATGGTCAAACCTGTGAGTCCATTTATTAAAGGTCAAGGAGAGGTTACTGCAGCAGGAGAGAAGCTGGGGGACCTCAACTGTAGGATTGCAGGCAGAATGCTAGGATGCAGAGGGAATTACAATGCCAGAGGATGTTCAATGTATAGGGTTGGTCAGAGAAAGAGTATGGAAGGGAAAGGGGTCATACAAGTGGAAGTGGCCATCAATGGGTAAGCAACACCCTAGCTTCACTGGGAAAGTGCACCGTCATTCCAGCATGCTTATTTGATATGTTGGCACTGGGGCAGAGGATAAAGTGGGCAAGTGAAAACTCAGACAGAAGATTGTGCTTGGACTTGGGGAAGTGCAAAGCCTATGGAGTTGACAACAGGGCTACCAGGAATGGGATATTTATGCTTGGGGTTCACCAAATGGAGAGGCTGAGCCAGAAACTTGCTATTTAAGAAACAACTGCTGTTTCCTTTCATTGTGTTGTAAATAACAAGTGCACAATGGAATTGAAAATGGCTGAGACTTTGCCCAGAGTGGGTGGGGTAAGTGTTCCATTTTGCGAGGGTGGGGAGCTTCAATTTCTAGAAATGTGAGGTCTTTCAAAGGGTAAGCCTATTGTACAGATGCAAATTCACTAAACTCGAAACCTAACTGCAAGCATCACATTCTTTGTGACCCTTAGTCACTGTATGGAGTTCACCTCCTTGCTACAGATCCCCCGCAGCATACAAGATAACAAGTGAACCCACTAATGCCTGTGATGCAATGTCAATGGTTGTTTTCTTGAAAACATGGAATCTAGTTGCCAATCACTTGCCATTTACCCAATCCCTGCCTCTGGTGCAGGAGCTGCTCATTTCACAGCTTGGATCATGTGGCAGCACAATGTGATAAGGATGGGTTGGCTCTGAACCTTCAATGTTGTAGCTACAGTAGACAGAGACTCACACACAGAGTTATTTACAATGATATGCCTCCCACGTCACTTCTGTGCCCTCAGAAGATCTTTAGCTTTCTTTCCCTCCCTATGTCTCAGTGAAGTCCCAAGGCCCGCAGCTGGATTGAAGGCAGCCTGCCCGAGAATGGAGCCTACTGCCTTGGAGGTTTGGCCGTGGGGACTCTGGGGACATTTTTGTCTAGAAGGATCAGACATGCCGAGTGTGTCCTGCCCAGAGGCATTCACCCTCCTGAGCTCGAACCAGCACAGGACGGAGGGTGGTAGGCAGGGTGGAGGTGGAAGGCCTGAGAGTGTGCTAAGAAGAGACTTCTGAGAGAGCGTTGTGGTTTTTCGGCTGGTGTGAGTGCCTACTGGAACAGCCCTGACTGCTTGCAAGGGAGGGGTTTCTGGAGTGATTTCAACGTTTCTCACGCCTCAACCCCATCCCCCACCAATCCTCCCCCATCCCATGCCCGTTGCCTTGCTGTAGGTGCTAAGTATTAATGACTGTAGCAATGGACTGCAGGCCTGTGTGCATATCTAGCAAACTCTGAGACTACTGCTCTGAGGAAGATTCACCGGACCTGAAACGTTGATTCTGATTTTTTTTTCTTCACAGATGCTGCCAGACCTGCTGAGCTTTTCCAGCACCTTCTGTTTTTGTTCCTGAGACTACTGCGCCTGGTTGTCTATGCCAGGCAGCAATCTGTCTGTGGAAACAGTCAGACAAATGCCTGAGACAGCAGTCTCCCAAACTATTGCTGCAGTCTTTGTAGCCTTTGTGTCAGGTCACCCTGACAAACTGGCTGCTACTCCTGGGTCTGATTGTGCATTTGTATGAAGTCCCTAACTGCCGACACCATAGAGTCCTCTACTGTCTGGAGCTGAGCTTGCCTGGTGCCTGGTCTCCAGCAGGTCCCCTGAGTGCCAGTGATCTGTTCCTTGCACCAGTGACAATGGTAGAGCAAAGCATTAGTGTTGGTGAGAGGTGGGAGCAGTCACAGAGAGAATAAGGTGACAGTTACTCTGCTGGAAATGAGAGGGTCATTGACCCTTTTCCTGTATTTCTGGGTGTTTCATCAGACAGTGAGGATTGCATTGATGTAGACAGTAAACTCAGATCAGGCTGGCAGGGTTCTGGTGTTATGGCCTTTTCTGGCAGTGCACAGGGAACAGGACAGCCCCCCCTCAATGCCACCCCTTCCACCAGGACTTCCTGGTCCCTATGCACAAAGTTGTTGTGGGGAGCAATTTCCCTTTGTCTACCGTGTCCATGCCATATAGGGCAGCTCCAGGCTACCACTGCAAAGGCCTTTAGAGATGGTGCCAGTGCCAGGAATCACAGAATCATAGAATCCCTACAGTGTGGAAACAGGCCCTTCGGCCCAACAAGTCCACACCGACCCTTGGAGCATCCCACCCGGACCCATACCCCTATAACCCACCTAATCTACACCTCCCTGAACACTACGGGCAATTTAGCATGGTCAATCCACCTAACCTGCACATCTTTGGACTGTGGGAGGAAACCGGAGCACCCAGAGGAAACCCACGCAGACACGGGGAGAATGTGCAGACTCCACGCAGTCAGTCACCCGAGGCTGGAATCAAACCCGAGTGCCAGGATATGCCAGCAAGTATTTCTGGCTATGGTAAGCGGGACAACTGAGCTAGCATCAGATGAGAGGGGCACCCTAGGGGCATAGGGGTAATTAATGAGGCAGGTTTGGGATAACTGCATGAGAAAATATGCTGGACCTCACAGAGAGAAACTCTCCATAAAACTTGACAAAAGTATGGGACGGTTCACCCCTATGTATGGTGGACTCTTGTGCATTCTCTGCTTCCTTCCCCCAGCAATTCTCAGCCATGTCTTGGCCCAAAGTTCTATAATTCCCCCCTCAAACCCCATCACCTCTTCACCTCTCTTTGCTCCTTTAAACCACTGTTTACAAGCTACCTCTTTGAATAAGCAATTATCCACCTGTTTTAACATCGTCTTCGACTTAGTACCAGTCTCTGCCAGATAATTCTACCATAAAGTGCCTTGTGATTCTTTGCTTTGTTAAACGTTCCATAGAACATTCCATAACGATGCCACCCGAAGGCTGGAGGAACAGCACCTCATATTCCACTTGGGAACCCTGCAGCCCAATGGTCTCAATGTGGACTTCACAAGCTTCAATATCTCCCCAGCCCCGACCTCATCCCAAGACCAGTCCAGCTCGTCCCCGCCTCCTTGACCTGTCTGTCTTTTCTCCTACCTATCCGCTCCTCCCACCTCACTGACCAACCCCCCACCCCCACTTCCTACCTACTAGCCTCATGCCCGCCTCCTTGACCTGTCCATCTTCCTTCCCAACCACTCGCCCCTCCCTCCTCACTGACTAACCCCCATCCCACCTCCCTACCTGCGCTCACCTTTACTGGCTTCATCCCCGCCTCCTTGACCTGTCCATCTTCTCTCCACCTATCTGCTCCTCTATCCACCTTCCATCATCGCCTCCCCCTCTCCCTATTTATATCAGAGTCCCCTTCCCCTCCCCCATTTCTGAAGAAGGGTCCAGACCCAAAACGTCAGCTTTCCTGCTTCTCCGATGCTGCCTGGCCTGCTGTGTTCATCCAGCTCTACACCTTGTTATCCCCCATAGAAATACATGCTGTTTAATTGTTCTTTGATGAGCTAGGTGTGTGAGTGTGTGAGAATGTGTGTGTGTACAAGTGTGTTTTGAGTGAAAACAGCAGTAGGCACAGTTCTGATGCCTTACATAATCATACATACCATAGAAACAAGGGTGGCCTGATAAAAGGAAAAGATAATCCAAATTTTAAAACACTGAATAACATGGGGAGTGTGGATGTAAGTGAAGTATTTATGAGCAGTGAATTAGAGCATGTTGGTTTGAAATGGAAGACTGCAGGTCCCTTTGCTCGGACGTGTGGATAAGTGGCACATGTTATAGCTAAAGCCAGGTGATCAATTCCTTGATAAAGGACCTGGACTGGGAAAGGAATTGAATAGAGGTGAATAGGGATTAGTATTGTTACAAAGATGTGGTACCTGAAATATGAATTTGGGATACCGTTGACAGGATATATATCTATATCTCAAAACTTTGGAGTCAGAGTGCAAGGACTATACAGAAGAGTCAGGAATGTTTTTGTTCCTGGTCATTATCTGGCAATCTTGATAGAAAATTCCCTGGCTGTGGATATTAATAGAGAATAAGATAGACCTCAGGTGATTCATTTCAAAGCTGGTTAACCAGTGAAGATTCACAGATCTAGAATGGCCACTTAGGCAAGGGAGTGGACAATGGGCAATACCTGTGAAATAACAACCCAAAACAACACAACTCCCCTACAAAGGACAAGAAGAATATAAAATTTGCTTTTCATTCTCAGTATATGGCCTTTGCTGGCAAAGTTGACATTTACTGTCCATCTTAATTCTTCGGAAAGGGGTGATGGTGTAGTAAGACTGACCTCACAATTGCGTTAAGTATTTGCCTCTCATTGTAACAGATGCAAGAAGGAAAAATAATGGAGAGACGGAAGAAGATTGCACTAGAATTATCAGAGCTGGTTGTCTATTGTCGACCTGTGCCATTTGATGAGGAAAGTAAGTTTGACTCAATTCATTTAGCCATTCAGATTAGAAACATTTTATTTCCTGTAATTTTATTTTCATGCAATTTATTTTGTTGAGTTACTTCTGTCTTCAAATTAAATTGTCATCATTGGATTATGGCAGGCTCCTGCCTTATCTCATTATTAATGGACACTGAGGTTTGCAGTACAGAGGAAGATCATTTGTACGATTGTCTTCAGACATTTTACCATGGGATGAATGTTGGATCCCTGCTTGCAGTTTTGTGGACAGAGTGCACATAAAATGAAATGTGTAATCAATCCATTGCCTTTCAGCCCACTCTGCATCAGTACCCCATGTTACAGAAGGTGGGAAAGCATCAACTGCCTGAAACACATTGAGCTGAACAATTAACTACCACCGTAAAGGCCTCATTGCGACTTTGCTACAATTTTCTAGTCTGTGGATCAAGTCAAAAGGAAGGTGGAAAATCCTGCTGTTTTGACAGTGTGGGCTCTTGAGCAGGGAGGTAGGACAGCTACTTTGGAAGCTACCCTGTTGCCTGCCCCAGCCCTCCACTCTGATGGTACCTGCCTTTTGCCCTTCCTCATCCTCCAGGTTCTCTAACTCAACAGCCCAACCCTTCCCCAGCCCAACTGCCTCCCTGAAGCCAAGGAGACATCTGCACTTCTTCCTCAGGGCTGTTTGTAGTCCCAGCAGTTATCAATCGTCTGAGAAGTCAATAGCTATTAAGTTAATTTGTTAGAGTGTATCATTAGTGATAACAGATGATGCTAGATCATATGTAGATGGAAACTGGAGAAGAAGGTTCTGATGAAGCCCTTCATCAGTCCATCTTCTAAATAGTGTAACTAGCCAATAAATGTTTATTAGCTTGTAACAGCATGGTTTCACCCTTCTTCTGTTGAAGATATCCAGATCCCAGGCTTGGTAACAATGCAGTGACCACACTCTTTTGGTGCTGCTGGGATTAGAGCCACCAGCCAATCAGATGGGTTCAGGACTTCTCACATGTGAGTTCAGTCTCCCTCTCTGTCCCCCAGTCAGTGAAAAGAGGATCTGTCGGAATTGGGGGCAGGGCTTCTGTACCTGGAACCCCAACATCATTTTGGAGAAGGTCTATCTGATGCTGTGAAAATCTAGGCCTGAGAATCTGAAAAGAAAATTTCAGTCTTCTTCGGAGCTCTTGTTGTACAGGAACAATTTTCCAGCCCGGTCAATGTAGAATTTTCACAAAGCTGTCCCTACTCCCCTCATGTATCTTTGTGGGAAACAGTACTTCCGTCTCGCCCTTCATCAAAATTACAGGTCTGCAATGCGAGAAGCTCCAAAGAAAGTCCGGACCAATGAGTAAAATGTTCTGTGTATTATATAATCCATAGTAGGAGTCATTAAGTGCCAAGAAGGTCAGTATATCATTGAGGAGCATTAGTATGCCATTTTGCCCCAACATCAATAAGATTATGGCTGATCTTCTTGTGTTGCAAATTCCACATTCCCATCTACACCATACCTAACAAGAGACTGTCTACCTCTGTTTTGTAATGTTTAATGACTACATTTCTCTGGGACAGAGAGTTTCAAAGTTGCACAACTCTCTGAGAGAAAATCATTTCTCCTTATTCCTGCCCTAAAGGGACAGCCTCTAATTTTTAGACAGTGTCCCCTAGTTCTGGACTCATCCAAAAGAAGAGACATCTTTTCCATATCCATCTTGTTAAGTCCATTCAGGATCTTAGAAGCTTCAATCAAATTACCCCTCACTCTTCTAAACTCCAGTGGAATAAAGAGCCAGTCTGTTCACCCTTTCCTCATTAGACAACTCCTTATTTCCAGTAAATCTCAATCTAGTAAACTTCTTCTCAACCATCTTCAATGCATTTACATCTCTCCTGCAACAAGGAGACCGAAACAGCACATGGTATTTGAGATGTGGCCTTGCTGATAGTCTGTGTAACTGAAGCATTACATCCTTACTTTTATATTCAGTTCCTCTTGCGATAAAGGAAAGCATTTCATTAGCTGTACTAGCTCTCTGTGTATTGGTGTTTCTTTCTGACCTGGTGTTGCCTCATCCGCAGAGATCGGAACAGACAAAGCCTGTTACAGAGACATGTCGTCCTTCCCCGAAACAAAGGCAGAAAAGTATGCCAACAAGAGTAAGGGCAAGAAATTTCTTCAGTATAACCATAGGCAGCTGAGCCGCGTCTATCCAAAGGGCCAACGCTTGGACTCCTCCAACTACGACCCACTGCCGATGTGGATCTGCGGCAGCCAACTGGTGGCACTCAACTTCCAGACGCCAGGTAAATTCACCACAGTCAGGCTAGGGAGCGAGTTACAGTCACTAGGAGGCAGGATCACTGGGAACAAACTGGTGCATTAATTGCGTTTAGGTTTTGTTCAAGCATAGTTTCAACTAGGTGATTCAAAAATGTCCACAGTTCAAGTTTCTCAACTTCACAAGCCTCCACTCTTTTAACAAAATGGCACAGAAAGGTGCTTCAAAAAGTTCAAAATCAATCACAGAATTGCAAAACTATATAAGGTATTAAAACCCTTGTATAGACCCATAGGAATTTCCAACATAGAAGCAAGTCATGAGTTTGTATTTGTGTTAGCTCTTTGCAAGAATATTTAAAAAGTCACATGTTTACAAATTTACATTGTCAATGTGCTCCTGAAGGTTATAGCTCAGTCTTGTGTAATAGAAAACAGAAGCAGTCCAGGCCCGCTGTTTACTGGAACAGTGAGTGCAGCATTGTGAAGTGGTGTAGGTTTTGCTGCAGTATGGATGCCTGTGGTATGAAAGTGTTTAATAAACCATTTCCACCTCCCATTCAGCACAGCTCCTGGTAAAAGTCACATAGGCGGTGGTTAATCCACCTAGCCTGCAAATCTCTACACACTATGGGCAATTTAGCATGGCCAATCCATTTAACCTATACATCTTTGGACTGTGAGAGAGAACTGGAGCACTTAGAGGAAACCCATGCAGACACGGGGAGAATGTGTAAACTCCAGTCAGTCAGTCACCTGGTTCCCTGATGTTGTGAGTCAGTAGTGCTAACCTCTGAGTCGCCCTGGTGATCTCTGGGCTTCGGTTTTTAACTTCCTTCCCTTCAACTTCTCAATGTACTTCTCAGTTTTCTTTCTTTCAATCCCTTCCCCTTTCCTTCTCAAAGTACTTTTCCCTGATTATTTTCCTTCAATCCAAAAACAAAGATTCCAGCGACATGGGTGATCACATCATCCTTCTCCAAACACTTACAACCAATGGAATTTTCAACTCTTGATTCCAGTCTTACTTAATCAATCATAGCCAGGGCATCTGTAAAAATAACTTTCTACCCCAATACCAGAATCTTAGGAACCCCACAGAGTCCCATACTGAACCCATTACATCTTTCTTTCATCTACATGTTTTCATTTCATGATATATATGTTTGGATGGAAATGCAATGCTACACTAGTGTGCTTCCTGGCTTGCTGTAGCCATGTGACCTATGCCACAAGGCACACTCAGTACAGGCAGCTATCTAACAAATAGGTCTAAGAAAGAGAGAGTTCAAGCAAGGGTGTACTCCTTTGAATCATAACATGATATTGGAAAGGGAGCTGAGATTAAGAGTTAAAGACTTGTCATAGAAGCACAGCTACTGAAAGAAGAAGACAGAAAAGTTCAGTGCTGCTGAAAACTGCCACTAGCCATTAGAAGCTACCACAAAGGAAAAGTAAACAAAGAAGTTAAGCTGAAGCTGGCTCATTGGATGAGAAACACGATTGTTGTAAACTTTCCTTTCTTGAATTCGGTTGAAATGAAAGATGATATGACACCAAACTGACAGTTATTCCACCTGTAATGGCAAAACAGCAAAATTGTGACAGATTTGGTTAACAAGCCAGAGAAGTTATAATTAACTACATTTTACTGGAGGGGCTGTTACAAGGTATATTCCACACTAAATCTCTCTGAAGAATAGAAAAAAGACCAGAAATTTTGAAAGTCATGAAGGCATGCTTTGAACCAAAGTGAGCATAAATTATTCCCTGTACATGTCCAGATCTGGAGCTCAAGGTGAAGACAATATGTGACTGCATTACCACAGCTTGCAGAAGCTTGTGAATTTGGGCACCTGAAAAATAATCTCATCTAAGATAGGATTATTTTAGGCATATTGTGACTGCTAAGGGAAGAGAATCAGATTCTCGAAGAAGTTATAACTTTGTGCAGGATCTCTGAGCTTGTAAATCAATAGTTATAGCACATCCATAGGAAGCAGGTGAGTGGTACACAATGTGGAGAAGCAGCCCAGACCTGTGCACTATTTCGATAAGCAGCTCAGACCTGTCCACTATATTGAAAACCATCTTAGACCTATCACATACAGAAATGGAGAGAAAAGCTAACAAATATCCACAGAAGGCCAAAGGACAAGTTACAAATATTGTGGAGGTCATCACATAAAGCATGTCTAGCATGGAAAAAAAAGTGTTTTAACAGCAAAATGCTAAACTGATTTGCACAAAAGCATTTAGCTAGGAAGACATACAAGTCTGTAAAATCTATAGTGACAATTGCTACAGACAACAATTCTGACAAATCAAGCATAAGCGCTAGAGAGATGTCAGACAAAGGTTCAGCTGATTCAATCTACACTATAGAGCAGATTGGCAACATGTGCCTAAAGGAGAAAAATGGTTTGTAACTTTTGTGATGAAGACAGCAGGAAAAGACAACCAAACGAATATAAACGACCAGATAGATACCGTGCTTCTCACAGCAGTATAACGCTGGCTTCTTGAAAGAAGTCTGATCATTTGATGGTGGTCCAAAAGTAAAACTGTCAAAGGTAATGTCGAGACTCTGTAATGGAATGATGCTCGCTCCAAGAAGACAAAGTGACCTGAGAGCCCTCTGCAGTGGCAAGACTGAGGATGTGCAATTTTAGAGATTAAACACGATGCTAAAATCACTCTTTTCAGCAAAGCAAAACAACAGCTTCGACTAGTAACCCTAAACATGTCAGAAGAGATTTGCAATGTTTTATGGGCCACATTGATGAACAAACAGCATAAAACATGCAAAGTCAGCTGAGAAGATTCTGAAGCAGTGTGAAATGGGGGATGTTTAGATGGAAATGCAATACTGTACTGATATGCTTCTCAGTTTGCTTAGTCATGTGACCTAGCCACAAGGCACACTTACTGAAGGTCAGAATATCAGCAAGAGTGTGTTTATTGAACATATAACAGCATAGGACCTTCCGCAATCAGTCTGATGACATCCAGCCTGTGTTTTGATTAACTACTCTGCTACTACGATGTTGTCAGGTCACCTGTCTGACATCAATGATCAGGATGTGGAGGTGCCAGTGTTGGACTGGGGTGGACAAGGTCAGAAATTACGCGACACCAGGTTATAGTCCAACAAGTTTATTTGAAATCACAAGCTTCCGGAGCACAGCCCGTTTGTCAGGTGAAGTGAGGGTGGCGCACACAGACATAGAATTTATAGGCAGAGAGATTATGGGCAGAAAGATCAAAAGATCATACAAATGCTGTGAGTGGGGTGTCAAATAATAAGTCCCTGCAGTTGATCAACAGTATCAGATGGTGTAAGTAAAGTGTCAACAGCTGAGTAACAAGCAAAGGAATGACATATAAACTAATTAAATGAGGCAGAGAGATAATCGTAAAAAATTAAAAATAAGGTGGTGCTGGAGACAAACTAAATGACTGGAATAACATAATAGGTATAAGAGTTGCATGCCAAGGATCTAACCAAAGTAATAAGTAATCCAAAACCATACAAACTAATTAATGTAGAGCGATCATAACTATTTATCCAGGTGATGGTGTTTCTGTGCCTGTGATGATCAGATACACTATGGTGCCTTCAGGACAACATTGGAAAAATCAAAGTTTCAGTTTCCACCCTACACTCCTTATCTTTGCATACTAATCCTGCAACCTATTTCAGTGTTCATAGCCTCAGTGTTCTGAGCAAATCCAAATTACATTTCCAAATCCATGTTCAACCAACTGCAACACCATAAGCCTCTCCTTAAAATATAATTCTTCAGCCAAGATTTTGATCAGCCCTGCTAATCATTTCCTTTTTTGATTCAGCATCCATGTTTCCTACACCTTCGTAAATACATCTCTTTAGGATTACCTAAGGAGTGTCCGTGTAGTAAATGCCCAACTGCAACTAACTCAAGGGCATAATTTGAACAATTTTGTTTACTAGCTATAAAACTACTGGACATGGGAATTAATAACTGTTTTAAATACAAGAATCATCTAATTGAGTCATGAAGTGTGTATTCCCTTTGTGATTGCCAATGAGGAGGTGCTGCACTATGTTCTAGGTGACACCGATACTAACAGTGTGAGGGCAGTAGAAAGACATGTTATGCCATCTTCATGAATGCATCCGACCACATTTGGCAATCTTAATTGTGAAATGTCTTGCGATGATACTGTGGGACAAGACATATGCACATTTGGAAGAAAACGGACAATAGTTTTGCATGGGGAAGGTCATGTCTCACCAACCTGATTGAAATTTTTGAGGAATTGACAAAGATAATTGATGAGGGAAGGGCAGTGGATGTAGCTTATTTGGACTTTAGAAAGGCATTTGATGAAGTCGTACATGGCAGATTTGTACAAAAACTAAAATTACATGGGATTTGGGGTGGCCTGGCTAGAGGGATGCAAAACTGGCTTGGTCATAGAAGACAGAGGGTAGCGGTGGAAGGGTGTTTTTCAGAATGGTGACTGGTAACTAGTGGTGTTCCACAGGGACCTGTGTTAGGCCCCCTGTTGTTTGTAGTATATATAAGTGATCTGGAGGAAAATGTGGATTAGTCAGTTTGCTGATGACACAAAGATAAGTGGAGTGGCTGATAGTGCTGACGATTGTGAAAGGATACAACAGGATATGGATAGATTGGCAACTAGGGGGCAGAAATGGCAGATGGAGTTTAATCCAGATGAATGCGAGGTGATGCATTTTGGAGGATCAAATTTAGGTGTGAATTATACTGTTAATGGCCGAATCCTTACTAACATTAACATACAGATGGATCTGAGTGTGCAAGTCCACAGTTCCCTAAAAGTGGCAACACAGGTAGCCAAGGTGATTAAGGGGGCATATGCCACGCTTGCCTTCATTGGCCGAGGCAGGGAGTACAAGAGTTGGCAAACCATGTTGCAGCTATATAAAACCCTTGTTAGGCCACATTTGGAGTGTTGTATGCAGTTTTCGTTGCCACATTACCAGGAGGACGTGGAAGCTTTGGAGAGAGTGCAGAGAAGGTTCAGCAGGATGTTGCCCAGTCTCGAGGGCATTGGCTATGAGGAAAGGTTGAAAAGAGTAGGATTGTTTTCAGTAGAAAGATGGCGGCTGAGAGGAGACCTGATAGAGGTCTACAAAATTATGGGAAGCAAACATAGGGTGGATTGCCAGAGGCTTTTCCCCAGGGTTAAAATTTCAATTACAAGGGGACACAAGTCCAAGATGAGAGGGGGTAAGTTTAAGGGGAATATGCCAGGGAAGTTTTTCACACAGAGAGTGGTAGAAGCCTGGAACGCACTGCCAGAAGAGATAGTGGAAGCAGGCACGTTGGCGACATTAAGAGGCATCTGGATGGTTACAAGAATAGAGAGAGAAGAGACGAATACAAACTGAATAAGGGCAGAAGGTTTGTTTTTCTAGTTCAGTTAGGACATGATGATCGGCACAGCCTTGGAGGAATGAAAGGCCTGGTCCTGTGTTGTGCTTCTCTTTTGTTCTTTTATTGTTTTGATTTTTTTCTATGCTGGAGTAGTTATTATTATTCTTGCTATTATAAGCACAGGCCAGCATAAATATTGGCTTGCAGTGCCCTCTGCTGAATTGAACAATAATTACAGAAACAATGTGGCATCAACTAGAAATGACTCAACCATTACCTATCTGGCTTGGTATATCAGCTAATTACTTCATCTACTATTATGCATATGTTACATTTACACTTGTCCTTTATATTTTCCACATACATCTTACATATGATAAAATCCCCTGGTAGTTCCTTTACTAAATGTGGATCAGAGCCATACGTAGAAAGGCTCATTGAGTTGATCCAATGATTAGCTAGTTTGACATGAACTGACTGAACTAATCTCAGATGTGTTTGGTATTAGGGATATAATGTTTGGGATTAACGCTCCTCAGCTAGCGAGTTTATTGAACTAATTAGACATGTCTTCCCAATTGCTATTTATAACACGTGAGACTGCCTTGAGTTATCGATGACGACTTCAGAGGATTCTCTGTGAGGCTCACAGTTGCTGAATATGTGCTCCCACATAAGGTTAACTTTCCATAGCTTAAGACAAGTAAGAAAGTGTACTTGGAAATGGATACTTCCTTTCTTTCACCCATGAAAATCAGTATCAATACTTTTGGAGCTCCAACATTAGACGGAGAAGTTTCCAACTAAAGTAAATAGATGCACATAAATATTGGGAGCTGTGTCGGAGGGTCATTGACACAACAAGGAGGATGTTAATTTTAAATCTGAAAGAGCTTTGGAATGCCTTTTCTCTGCAGATAAACCAATGCAGCTGAACCAGGCGATCTTCACAATGAATGGAAAGAGTGGCTATGTCTTGCACCCTGACATCATGAGAGATGAGAACTTTGACCCTTTTGACAAGAACACTCTCAAGGGTGTGGAACCAATCACAGTGCAGCTTCAGGCAAGTGGCAGCCATTTTGTTTCCCCACAAGACAACTGAGTAATCTGAAAGCTACTGGAAAAATGAGTGGGAATTTTAACTCTTAATGGTGGGTAGGAACGGAGTGAGAGCAGGAAAAATGGAGCAATTCAATTTCCATCTCTGTTGTGCTGATTTTAATGCTGCTGGTTTTGGTCCCTGTTGGAATTGGACCCTGATGTATTAATTGTGAATTCAAGTGGACCCTGATGTTAATTTGCCTGGGGCTTGTGCATGGAAACACCATGCACCTTGCTCATTAAGTTGAAGCAGGTTGCAGTTTCTGTTGAGATAAAGAAAGCCCTCCATGAAGAGGATGAAAATTTCCTTTGTGGAGCCAAAATGTATGGACGGCTTCCAACAAACAAGGCTGCATTCTTCTCCCAGACAACAAGGTGCAGGGCTGGATGAACACAGCAGGCCAAGCAGCATCATAGGAGCAGAGAGGCTCATTCTTCTCCCATCCATTTGTGACCAACCCAAACTTCCTGCCCGTCACTGCAAGCCCTTGGCCACCCAAACTCACCCGGCTGACAATTTAAATCAGTTAAAATAACCCAGGCCTGAATCTTAAGAAATAGGCAAATAGTTTGTTTTGTAGTAACATTCCTCATAATAAAAACCTAAGAAGAGTTCCCTAAAAAGCACATTTTTACATTGCCCTTCCTATGAGGTTGTAGACTTGCTCGCTGAGCTGGTATGTTTGATTGCAGACGTTTTGTCAGCCTGCTAGGTAACATCGTCAGTGTGCCAGCTCAGCGAGCAAGTCTACAACCTCATCCTCAACCCCAGCTACAAATCTTCTCAAAAACATTGCCCAGCTAGTTTGGATTATTGTTTCCCAAACTCATCAAATGTAGGACCAATGGAGTGAAAAGAGATGTTTGTGCACTTTCCATGTATTCTTCCCTCTTTGTTCAGGTTTACCCAGACACTGCAGGTGATCTTTCTCCTATACCTTCCCTGAGAATCTTCCTCAGAAATATTTGTGATTGAGTGTTCCTTAAGCCTCAGTTTCTACCTCTACCCAGTGTCTAACCACAACAAAATGGCTGAGATTGCTAAAAGTACCTCAATGTAGCATTAAGCCACAGTAAGTGATATCTTTTGGCTTTATGTGCTGCACCAGTTTTGAGTTGAAAATGTGCCACATATTGCACAGTTACATAAAACTGCTTTTCCTCTACCCTTCAGTTTTGTGCTCGTATCTGCTGAAGGACCAATACTTGTCTTTGGGGCTGGTGAGAGCCAGCTCCAGGTTTGTGTGGTTGGTCATTATTCAATAACAAGTACACAACGAGAGAGAGACAGACAGACTGTGTGTGTGCGTGTATGTGTGTGTGTATGTATGTGTGTGTGTGTATGTGTGCGTGTATGTGTGCGTGCATGTATGTGCCTGTGTGTGTGTGCGAGTAGTGTGTCTGTGTCTGTGTGTGTGTGTGTGTGTGTGTGAGAGAGAGAGAGAGAGAGAGAGAGAGGCTCAGAGATTAATCTGAGTTCAACTTGTGCTCTATTTACCTTGCCACTGCACAGCGTACTGCTGTGTGTACACAATCAGGACAGTAGATATATCACAGCAGGTAGCTCAGGACCTGGAATCTGAACATCACTGAGGCAGCAAGATATACTGTTGTTCTTCCTTAACAATGAGATATTTTTGTTTTATTCTCTAGGTACTGATTGTCTTTCATCTAACTCAAATTCAGAAAATGAACATACAAAACAATCATGGCTGCTGGCTGTTTGAAAGAATTATCTAATTAGCCCAACAACCCTGCTCTTTACCCATACCTCTGCAATTTTTGTTTTCTATTTCAAGTATAGCCCTTTTGGAAATTATTATTGAACCTGCTTGCACCTGTTTTCAGGTAATGCATTCCAGATCAGATCAGTTTGCTGCACAAAAGGATTTCTTCCATCTGCCATTTGATTCTTTGGCTATTCGACAAATTAATATCAGAGCATTATTCAGTCATGCTCCTGTGCTAGCTGGAATCTCTGAACGGTGGATCTCTGATTTTGACCCTTGCTTAGCCCTGACATGATGTAACTTGTGGCAACATTAATGCTGTCCTAGTACAGACTGGAATAGCTTAGCTTCCACAAGATTATTGTGTTACCGACTGAATCAATGATTTGGAAATGGGCAATTTACAAACTGATATATAAATTCAGCATCCTCATTGTTTTTAAGAAGGAATACACAAGAATTTGTGGGTTTGAGTCCTTATTGACTTAATTCTCTTAAACCGACAGATCCTAGGAGCACGACACTTGCCCAAGAATGGAAGGAGCATTGTTTGTCCATTTGTTGAAGTGGAGGTATGTGGAGCTGAGTATGACAACAGCAAATACAAGACAGAGGTGGTGGGTAAGTAAAATTGCTCTTCCACAATGTGGTGACCTGATCATATTCCCTATAAAATTCTTTTTTTTGTCTCCCTGTTTTCTCTCCCTTCTCTGTCCATTGAAGCAGCATTTTTTTTGTGGGAAGGGACATGGGCCAGACCAATTAGGGATTCTTCAGATGAGCTTTGATATTGATAATGTTTTATCCACAACACTCAGCCTGAGTCAGACACAATTTGATTTTGGTTTAATTTATTGTAGTACAGTGAAAAGCGTTGTTTTGCGAGCAGTACAGGCAGATCATAGCAAACAAGGACATAAAGATCAAAGGGTGCTTAGACAAGGTTATGGTGACACTGGAGGTGCACAATCAAGATCAACATTGGCAAGGTCAACACTATTTGAAGTTACAGAGGCCCATCCAGTCTGATAACAGCAGGGAAGAAGCTGCTCTTCAACCTGTTGGTGCATGTAATCAAACTTCTGTATCTTCTGCCTGATGGAAGAGGCTGTAGGAGAGCATTACCAGGGTGGGAGGGGTCTTTGATGATGTTGCCTTTCCACGGCAACAAAAAGTATAAATAGAGTCTATGGATGGGAGGTTGCTTTTGTGATGGTCTGGGCTGTGCACACAACCTTCTGTAGTTTCTTATGGTCCTGGACAGAGCAGTTGCCGTACCAGGCCATTATGCACCCACTTAGAATGCTTTCTCTCGTGCATCTAGAAAAGTTGGTGAGGGTCCTTACGGATGTGCCGAGTTTCCTAAGCCGCTTGAGCAAGAAGTGAGGTGATAGCCTAATGGTATTATTACTGGACTGTTAATCTAGAGACACAGATAATGTCCTGGGGACCTTGGTTCGAATGCCACCATGGCAGATGGTGGAATTTGAATTCAATAAATATCTGGAATTATCAATCTAACGATGACCATAAATCCATTGTCAATTGTCAGGAAAAACCCATCTGGTTCACTAATGTCCCTTAGGAAAGGAAACTGCCATCCTTACCTGGTCTGGCCTACATGTGATTCCAGACCCACAGCAATGTGGATGGCTCTGAACTGCTTCTGGGCAAATAGGGATGGGCAATAAATGCTGCCTGGTCAACGATGCCCTCATTCCGTGAATAAATAAAGGAAAAAAAAACATTGTTGTGCCTTTTTGTCCATTTCATCTACATGGGAGGTCCAGGACAGATTGTTGGTTATTGTCACCCCTAGCAACTTGATGCTGTCAACCCTCTCCACCTCAGCTCCTTTGATGTAGATGGGGGCGTGTCCTCCTCCTTTCCTCCTGAAGTCAATGATCAGTTCTTTAGTTTTGCCGACATTGAGAGAGAGGTTGTTATCATTGCACCACGACAGCAAGTACTCTATCTCCTTCCTGTATTCTTTTTCATCGTCGTTTGACATCCATCCTACCATGGTGGTGTCATCGGCAAATTTGTAGATGGCGTTTATATGGAATTTGGCTACACAGCTGTGGGTGTACAGAAAGTACAGTAGGGGGCTAGAGACACATTCTTGAGATCTTCAGTGTTGAGGGTTATCATGGAGGAGGTGCCATTGTCTGTCTTGACTAATTGTGGTCTGTGGGTCAGGAAGCTGAGGATCCAGCTGCAGAGGCTTGGAGCTGAGGCCTAGGTATCGGAGTTTTGAGATTAGTCTGGTAGGGATTATGGTGTTGAAGGCAGAGCTGTAGTTGATGAGTAGGAGCCTGATGTGGGTGACCTTGTTATCCAGGTGTTCCAAGGATGAGAGTAGGGCTAGGGAAATGATGTCCACTGGGGACCTGTTTCAACAGCAATGAATTGCAGGGGATCGAGGCAGGCTGGGAGGCTAGAATTAATGTGGGCCATGATCAGCCTTTCAAAGTACTTCATGATTATGGGGGTCAGATCCACTGGGTGCTAGTTGTCAAGGCACGTTGCATGTGTTCTCTTTGCTACTCAGATGATGGTGGTCTTCTTGAAGCAGGTGGGGACTTCGGATTGTATTAGAATCATTTCAAAACCTCCAATAATAGGCACAAAAAAGTTAAAGTTTTATGCAAATCTGACATTAAAACAGAAAATAATGCAGCAAATAAGGTAACATGTGTGAAGGGAGTAGGGTTAATATTTTAATCCAACGGTCCTAGGTCAGAGCTCTAGCCTTTTCTCCAATAATCTGTATGTCATTTTCTCCTTTCATTGTGTTGTTTTCAAAGGTGAGTATAGGATGGAATGAACACAAAGTGGGAATTGTGAGGAGAGTGCAGAGAGGATAAAAGTGAACTTGGGACAGGTTAAAAGAATGGCAAGAACATGGAATATAAAATGAATAAATGTGAAGTTACTCACTTTGGTAGAAAAAAATAGAAATCAGAATATTTCTTAAATGCTGAGAGACTGGGAAGTGAGAGTGTTTCACAGGGACCTGGGTGTCCTTGGTCATGAGTCACTAAAAGTTAGTATGCAGGTGCAGCAGGTAATTTAGAAAACAAGTGCAATGAAAGCTTTCATCGCAGGGGGATTTTACTATGGGAGTAAAGATGTCATGCTGTGGTTGTATAGAGCCTTGATTGAGACATCACTAACTATGGGCAGTTCGGTTTCTTTATCTAAGCAAGAACATACTATAGATGGAGTGCAAAAGAGGTTGGGAGTATTGTTTTATGAGGAGAGATTGAGTAGACTGAGCCTGTATTCCTAGAGTTTTCAAGAATGTTGTGACAGGGTGGATGTAGGTAAGATGTTTACCCAGACTGGTAAATCTAAGAGCAGGAGAGACTATCTCAGTTTAAGGAGTATGCCATTTAAGATTTTGATGAGGAGAAATCTATTCACTGAGAGGGTGGTGGACCTTTGGAATTATGTCACAAGGGCTGTGAAATCTCAATAAATCAAGCAGGTTCAAGATAGAAATTGAGATTTTTAGAGAATAATGACATAAAAACTCACCAGCTGGGGAAACATCCCATCTACATCAGCTCTGTCATGCCTTGTAAGAGTTTTGTAAGTTTCAGTGTCATCACCCTCATTCTTTGAATTTCTAGGGAAAATAGACCTAGCGTCCTCAATTTCTGCTCATAAGAAAATCCCACCATATCCAGGATTAATCATTGTACACCCTTTATGATAGTATATCCTTTCTTTGATAAGGGGACCAAATCTGTGCACGGTGCTCCAGATGAGATGTTGCAAAGTTTTATACAACTGTGGCAAGACTTCTTTCATCCTGTACTCAAATCCCTTTGCAATGAGGCCAACGTAACATTTGCCTTCCTAATTGCTTCCTGCACCTACATGTTAATTTTAATTGACTTGTGAACAAGAACAATGGGGTCTCTTTGAACACTTGCATTTCCCCAATTCCCTGTAGCCCATCAATGATATACACTGCATAAATATCACTCAATAATTGTCACCACAAAATCTTGGAAGATCTATTGTGTGCCTCTCCCGTTTTAATAAATGAACTGTCCTAAACACCTGGGTCTAGGCCCGAAACGTCAGCCTTCCTGCTCCTCTGATGCTGCTTGGCCTGCTGTGTTCATCCAGCTCTACACCTTGTTATCTCAGATTCTCCAGCATCTGCAGTTCCTACTATCTCTGAAACCTTTTATAATCTGCCCAGTTGTAACACTGCCAGTTCTGACTTAATGCTTATTTGTCTTTCTCAATGTTTGTCCTTTCCTTTGAGAATCACCTGTTTTCTAGCGGAGGGTTTCACATGCACTGGCAAATCCATGAGTCCTCACCTAAGTTGCCATTCTCCACTTGTGAGCTTTGTCAGCACATGGCAACAGATTCAACAACCAAGTACATTGGTTGGGCATCCAGCGGGGGCTCTTGAGTTCCAATGACCAGTTTAGCAAATCTGCCGCTTCCTCTTCAAAAGAAAGAAGTGAGGCACTGAGGTGACTTGTCACGCCTTTGTGCTGTCCTAGAGGAGAGCAAATAAATGAACGATCAATCTGGGATAGTAGGAACTGCCGATGTTGGATGAACACAGCAGGGCAGGCAGCATCAGAGGAGCAGTAAAGCTGATGTTTCGGGGCTGGTTTTTTTCTGAAGAAGGGTCCAGACCCAAAATGTCAGCTTTCCTGCTCCTCTGATGCTGCCTGGCCTACTGTGTTCATCCAGCTCTACACCTTGTTATGTTAGATCAATCCGGGATGTTCTGTTTTTTATGGCTCATGGTTCCCCTATTCAGTATGTTTACTTACTCAGCTATTGGTGGAGCGGGGGTCGGAGAGTTATCATTAAATAAAACGCCTTTATGCAAGTTGTCTTCTGCTATGAAACGTATTTGAGACTCCTTTAGTGATCGTGCTGTAGAAAATGCTGTCTGTTTTATTTTGTGTACTTAATGTATTATTCACCAGTTTCTCAGTTGGTAAATTCTGTGCCCAGTATCAAACTGAGTGGTGCAGACCAGAATGGTCACTAATCTTAGTACCTGGTCTATATTGAGCTCAACCTAACTGATACAGTTGACTTCAAAAAGGAGCAAAAATCAGCCAAGGCTCCAGCTCCTGATCACCATCTCTGCTGGGAAAGGCAGGTAAGGAATGGCTGTTTATTGGAATTATGCAGGATGCTCAGGAGAAAATTCAGGTAGAGGGAAGAAAAGTGAAGAAGACAACAGAGAAAAGCAATGTTTTAGAAAGCATTATTTCAGCACTCTCTGTTTTGTTTTTGTTCCAGCGGATAATGGGTTAAATCCTGTATGGCTCTTCAAGCAATTTGTCTTTGACATCAACAATCCTGAATTTGCCTTTTTGAAGTTCATCGTGTATGATGAGGACATGTTCAGTGACCCCAACTTCCTTGCCCAGGCAACCTATCCTGTTAAAAGCCTTAAAACAGGTAACTAGAATCCTAGGAAGAAAAATGTTATTTAACCGCTTTTCATAAACTTGATGTTGTGAGGGCTGACGATGCTAGTATTGTACTGACAGCACAGATCGCACTGGAGCACGGATTCAGCTCAGAAATATTCTCCTGCCTTTGTTCTCCCTGTAGGGATGGATGGCAGAATAGGTGGAGTTGAATTTCTTCCCTCTCACCCTGAGGACTTTGGTGGTGGAGCACATTTAATGAATTCGGGGGGTGACAAGTGGGTACCCTACCACTTTCCCAACTCCAACCCAATTAACCACCAGCTAATGCCCATTTAGGTGCCTCATCCCTCTGCCCATCAAAGGATAGGGGTTTGCCATGCAAAAGGTATGACAAGCAAACCTGTGCAATGTTGATTGCAGAATCTATGGTGGGGTGATGTCCCTTCAAAGGCATTCAATGAATGAACGAGCAATCTAGCATTGGGAAGTTGAGAAGGGTGGCGGCACTTTGGGAGGGGTGGGTGGCAAAGGTCACTCCCCGATCCTTGTTAGTAACCTCCCCGAATCCCCATAACCTCCAACCAGCTACCATTCATTTGTGGCTGGTATCCAGACTTCAGGACATGTGACATACTGGCATTGCCACCCCAGTTACCCTGTCATTCTGTCAAATACTCTGTCCTGTAACTGACTGGCAGCTCTAAGTGGGCAGGACTCCTGCCATCAGGGCACGTGATCCTGGGGATGTCTTGCCACTGTCCAGTAGAGTGCCTGAAGGGTACTTAATATGGCAGCCATTCCCAAAAAGCTACAAAATGCTGCTCTCATCAACTCTCCACTTGGTTGCTGAGAACCCCTCATCTCCATTAAGTGCCACCCGATTATCCAGTGCTGTGTATAGCAACAGTGACCCATGTAATTTTACCCTCCCAGTGCCTGGCGAATGGCTCAGTGAGGCAATCAGAAAGACTTATTTAAAATTCCAACATATGTCACAGCCAGAGTAATTCTTTCTGTCTTGGCATTACATATCATCTACCATCTCATTTCCATCTCCCTTTCCTTAGCATTCACTGCGAAGATTATGAATGGTGAATTATGGGAAGTGTTGTAGGACTTGTATCCCCGAATGTCTCTCAAACCCATTATGATCTGTAGATAAAAAGTGGCATGACCACCATGTTTGGAGACTGAAAGAGAGTGAAGAGTGAAGGGCCATTGGGAATGGGCAGTACTTGCCCATCCAGAAGAGTCAATATCTTTGAATGAATGAGAAAAAGGTGTTGGTTATGGTGGCTTTCTACTTAGGCTCAGACCAAATTAGGAGGACCATGTTTACAAAGATTTCTCTCTCCTATCTCAGCCACTGTTTTTGTGAACACAGAACTGAGCAACTAAAAGCTATAAACACTTATTTTTGAAAATATCACAGCCCAGTGTTTAAATGTGACCATTTTCCCGAGAATAACTCAAACAATAAGTTTCAGTTTGTACAAAAACTATTTTCTGCTTGGCGATTTGACCCAATTTAAGTTTTTTGTGTCCATTGGAATCGAATGCTGTTTCATCCTGTTCAGAGTAGGAGGCATTACTAAGTATGTTGAACCTACATGTTGAATTTTATTTCCCATGCCGTTTTGAAATAAACATTATATACACAATTCATTTTAACTTCATACATGAACAACATATATATAAATAACCTTAATACTTGTTAAGAAAAGACCATTTATATCACAGCTGTATCACCCAATCCAATACCAAATGAAATCACATAAGGAGATAGTGGAATCTCTACCAACTGGGAGATCTTGGCCTGGCTTTACACATAAACACAGCCAGTGAGCACTGACGGAAACTAGTTTGCTAATAATTTTAAGATGACACTTATTTTTAAGCTGTCTACTAGATGAGGACTACTCCAGACATTAGATTCCAGGAATGGTTAGATCTTTCACCCACAACAGAGAAAGCTCCAGATTACTAGTAGTGTTAAGTGAGAAAATACTTCCGGTTTGGCTCCTGAGTGACCTGCCTCCAATTTAAGAATGTTGGAAAGTCAGGACACCTCCAACGCTGGGGAGGGGGTCTAGGATTCGAGTCTAGGATTCGCCATCTCCATTCCCATACTGACTAGAGTGGGTGAAGGGAATGGGCCATGAGGCTGCAGCCGAAAGTCCTGACCTGGCTGGCTCCATTATGGCTGTAGGTAACTTGTGACCTCCTGCAGTTTTCATGGAGTTTGGCAAGTGCATCCATGACTCTGAGTCCATGGCCCCTCTGAGGAGTCATGAAATGTATCCGAAATGGGGGAACCTTTGGAAGGTAAGTTCATATGGTCTTATCTATGTCGCCCAACCTCCTCCCCGTGGCCACCCATAGTTTGTATAAAACATCAACCCCGACAGACTGACTGGCATCAGCCTAGGCAACAGAATTGACAGTGGCAAAAACATCCCTGTCAACCTTGTAAAGTCCTCCTGTCTATCCTCTAGGGGCTAGTGTCAAAATTGAGATATAAAATTGACAAGTCTGGCAACAGCCTGACATAGTCATACTCACAGAATCATACCTCACAGAAAATGTCCCAGACACCACCATCACCATCCCCGGATATGTCTTGCCCCACCTTCAGGACAGACCCAGCAGAGGTGGTGACACAGTGGGATACAGTCAGGAGGCTGTTTTTAAAAGTTTCATGTCAACAGGTCAAACGTGGACAAAGAAACTTCCTGCTGTTTACCACATAAAATCCTCCCTCAGCTGATGGCTCAATTCTCCTCCATGTTGAACACAATTAAAAACATAGAACATAAAACAGTATAGCACAATACAGGCCCTTCGGCCCATGATGTTGTGCCAACCTATTATCCTACTAAGATCAAACTACCCTGCATACCCTACATTTTACTATCCTCCATGTGCCTATCCATAGAACATAGGGAATTAAAGGAAGCACTGAGGGTGGCAAGAGCATGGAATGTACATTGGGTAGGGGACTTCAATGTCCACTACCAAGAATAGCCTTGCAGCAACACTACTGATCGAGCTTTGGACTAGCAGATGGTGAGGGAATCAACAAGTGGGAAAAACGTACTGGACTTTATCCTTACCAATCTGGTGGCTGCAGATACATTTGCCCTTGACAGTATTCATAAGAGTGACCACACAATCCTTGAGGAGACAAAATCCTGCTTTCTCACTGAGAATATGTCATGCTGTGTGGCACTATCACCATGCTAAATGGGACAGACTTCAAACAGATTTAGCAACTCAAGACTTGGTATCCATGAGACACTGTGGCCCATCAACAGCAGCAGAATCATACTCCAGCACAATCTGTAACCTCATAGTCCGCTATATCGCCCACTCAACCATTACCGTCAAGCCAGGGGATCAACCCTGGTTCAGTGGAGAGTGCAGGAGGGCATGCCAGGAGCAGCATCAAGCATACCTAAGGATGAGCTGTCAATCTGATGAAGCTGCAAAACAGGACTACTTATGTACCAAACAATATAAACAGCAAGTGGTAGACACAGCTAAGCAATTCGACAACCAAAGGATCAGATTGAAACACTGGCACCCTGCCACATCCAGTAGTGAATAGTGGTGGACAGTTAAACAACTCCCTGGAGGAAGAGATTCCACAAATATTCCCATCCCACATCGGTGCAAGGGGCAGAAGCATTTGCAACAATCTTCAGCCAGAAGTACCAAAAAATGATCCAACTTCTCCACAGGGCCCCAGCATCACATGATGAAGTCTTCAGCCAATTCAGTTCACTCCACATAATATCAAGAAATGGCTGAAGGCAGAGGACACTGCAAAAGCTGCTGGTCCTGAAAAAATTCCAGCAACAGTACTGAAGACTCATGCTCCACAATTTGCTAATCCCCTAGCCAACCTTTTCCAGCATAGCTACTACACAGGCATCCACCTGATAATGTGAAAAATTGTCCAGGTCTATCCTGTACACAAAAAGCAGAACAAATCCAACCTGGCCAATTGTCACCCCATCAGTCTACTCTCAATCATCAGTACAGTGCTGGAAAGTGTCAGCAATAACCTCCTCAATGATACTCAGTTTGGGTTCTGCCAGGGCCACTCAGCTCCTAACCTCATAACAGCCTTGGTTCAGACATGGACAAGAGAGCTGAATTGGGTCCTGACCCGAAACGTCAACTTTCCTGCTCTTCTGATGCTGCCTGGCCTGCTGTGTTCCTCCAGCTCCACATCTTAGAGCTGAATTCTAGATGTGAAGTGAAGCCTCGAGAGCCTAGAGGTGAAGCCCAGTGCAGTCTGGAGATGAAGCTGGCACAGACCCATCTCTCTGCTTTCCCTGCTTGCAATGACTGTAATTCTTAATGTCTTTTATTTATTTATTCTTCTAATTTATTCCTAAGATTTTATACTTAGGTACCTTTGTACCTAAGATCATGCCATAAGGAACGACTTTGTAAACTTTTCTCTGTAATCTTGTGAGTAGATGTGACAACAAACTTAATTCTAATTCTATTTCAAGAGTACCTCAGTGGAGTGTACTATGACCAACCATCTCCAGCTGCTTCATCAATGACCTTCCCTCCATCATAAAGTTAGAAGTGGGAATGTTCGCTGAAGATTGTACAATGTTCAGTAACATTTTCAGCTCCTCAGATAATGAAGCTGCCGTCATTCAAATGCAACAAGACCTAGACAATAACCAGGCTTGGGCTGAAATCTGGTAAGTAACATTCACGCCACAGAAATGCCAGGCAATGACCATATTAAAAATAGAGAAAACCTAACCATCATCCCTTGACACTCATTGGTGTCACCATCACTGGTTCCCCCATTATCAATATCCTGGGGATTACCATTGACCTACTATTCACCAGAAACTGAACTGGATTACCCATATAAATATAGTGGCTATAACAGTAAGTCAGAGGCTAGGAATACTGCAAGTAAGTCACCTCCTGACTCCTCAAAACCTGTCCACTATGTACCAGGAGTGTAATGGAATACTCTCCATTTGCCTGGTTGAGTGCAGCTCCAATAACACTCAAGACTTTTGACACCATCTAGAACAAAGCATCCCACCTGGTTAGCACCATACCCACAATCATTTAATCCTTCCACCACTGATGCTCAGTAGAGGTGGTGTGTTCCATCTAATGGATGCACTGCAGCAATTTACCAAGTCTCCTTAGACAGTATCTCCCAAATCCATGATCACTATCATCTGAAATGACAAGGGAACAACACCACCTGCAAATTCCTTCAGTGCTTCTGGGTCAAAATCCTGGAATTCCCTCCCTAATGACATTATGCATCTAGCTACCGGACATTGGACTGTAACGATTCAAGAAGGCAGCTCACCATCACTTTCTCGAGGGCAAGTAGGAATGGGCAACAAATACTGGCCAGCCAGTGTCACCCACATCCCATAAATGATTTTTTTTAAAAATGCTGACTGAAGCCTCCCTGTGCTCATAATCTTTATGTGTACCCATGTCAACCCCAACAGCCCATACATGTAACCAATGAGCTGTTTTTTTAAAAAAAATTCAACCAGTTTAGACATTTTATGACAGACTTCAACAGTAGGTGGGATTTGACCCCATGTCTCCTGGCCCTGAGGTAGGGACATTACCACTGCCCCATTGGCTCTCTCATCAATGAGCTGTACAATAACAATGGTAAATATGGAACTCTTGTCCAAATAAACTCATTCAGAAATATTCTTTGAAAGAATAACTATTACTACAATCCTATATAAGTTTCAATTAGACAGACCATTAATGTATCAATAACAAAGCACATCTCTTAATCTATCTAAATGAAAATTGGATATTGACAGAGGAGATGACAGAAAGTACAACTTATTACAACTACATAAAGAGGTCAGTTAAACAAAGTCAAGAACTTACGGTAAAACAGATTCGCTGCTGAGCTAATTCTGCTCTTATTCATTGGTCTGTAACCCCAGAATACATAATAAGCATAGGTAGAAACTACTTGCAATTTAAAACATTTCAAGAAAATGTGCTTTATAATTGCGGTTATTATTTTTTGTAGCATCATTTTTTCTCCTTTATAGTGAAGGACAACATTCTATTAGCATTTTTAAAATTTGTCTTTATATCTGCTCGTTAGCAATTAATTATTTCTAATATTGACTTCCAGGTTTCTTTGTACTTCCACAGTTTCTCAATCCTTACACTTTTTTAAGACTACACTTTCGCAAATTGTCTGCATCAAGCACAGATGGACCTTTATATTGCAAGCATATCGCACACAGATCATTGACCTGAAATTAAGTTACAATGTATTCAGAAAATGTCTTTGATGTATTCACAGATAGCTCAAGGGCAACTAGAGATGGGAGATAAATGCTGGCCTAGCTAGCAGTGCCCGTGTCCCACAAGTGAATATTAAAAAAAAACTTATCGTCCAATGTCACCGGTGGTAAATAATTAACAAGAAAATCCATCAATCATAGGAATTTTCCCTGAAAATGCATACCTGTTCTGTTGCAGGGAGAGGTTTATATTGCACAATTTGACAAGGACAGCCTTCCTACTGCTACCACAGGCAATCAAAGTCCCTAAATTTTCTGATCATCTATGGTCAAGGTTGTATATTAACTCTCTTCAAACTCACTTTTGGATACTGTTAATAGAGGGCTTGACTTTTAAGCTAGGCAGTTGTATCAGTGATATGTCGCAACATACATATCATGTTGGTCCTGTATTAACATGAATATTTATTCATCCAAATTGAAGCCATTGCTGTCCTACTAGTCTCAGATCTATGGAGTCCAGTTATCACATCCATTTAGTTTAAATGCAGTTGCTTCACTGGTTATTCTAATTGAGTTGAAACTTAACTTTTATGGATAACCTAGCATACCTTAAAACCTAAACTGCTGTGTAATTGTACAGCTCCATATGCCAAATTTGTTGGGTAAATGCCAAGCTGTGTTCACACGTATATGTGTGTTTGTGCATGTTTGTGTATGTTGATATTGGGTGTGCTTACTGAGATTGCATCGTACTTTTCTGAGCTACAGATGCCACTGACTGTTGTAACGCCCTGATGAATGTCAAGATCTTGTATTTTACAGGTTACAGATCTGTGCCTCTGAAAAACAGCTACAGTGAGGAACTAGAGCTGGCCTCTCTACTTGTTCACATTGAGATAGTCAATGCCAAGGTAAAAGTTTGTTTTTGAACCATAGTAAACAAATTAACTTCATATGATGTGGATAATAATGGTACCATTCAGTAAAACAAAATTTCTTCACAAAAAAAAACTAATCGTAATAATTCACAGGTTGGCATCCATCCGTACCATCGTTCAAAATTTAATCTTTATGCAAAGAATCATTCACATATGTGTATTTCTAGAGTCCATCCATCTAGAATAGATCCACATTGATCCTCACCTATTGAATCCATTGATAGATCATTACACATTGAGTTCATTCTTCATAGAATCCATCACTGAGAAACAGTTATCTCTGAAATCCTTCATATATTGTTTAATAAATCCTTACTCCTCGGGACCAGTAATATAATACTGAGCACCTAAAATCCTGCAAAGCCTAAAGCAGTGCATGATCAGTTTGTGTGTTTTGAGTTCTATGCAGCATTCAACAAACTCCATACTCCATAATGGGTGTTAACCTTTTTATCAAGGAGAATGTATTTAGGGTATGTTAGTCTCCTGTTCCCTTGGAATGATCTCAATACCTCAGCAGGGCTCCAGATGCTAACAGCCTCTTTGGAATATCCACATCAAAGGAGGTTTACAGAGGAAACAAGTTAGAAATGCATCTTTCTCCTTGACCCGAACCATAGCTCTTTTTATCAGTGTCTTTTTATGGCTTCAAACACCTGTGCTGAGAGATTTCAGTTTTTACTTCTTTAGAATAAGAAAAATGATGATTTAATTGACTGCTTACAGCTGATGCTCAATCAATGTGTTGCCCTCAGTGTATCAAGTGTTCTGTACCAAGTGAATCAGAAACTGATTAACTGAAATTACCAGCATTATCATGACAAGGAACTGCCAAGCCACTTGGATCCTTATCCAATAGAAACTTACCCAGAGAATCCATTACTAGTAATGATAAGTAATTACCCATAAAGTTCATTACCCAGATTTTGTGGTCCGCTATGAAGTAACAGTCTTGCTCCTGACTGAACAAAGCCGAGCACTAAAGTCTCTATTGTATGAATTAAATTGTTTTCCATGTTAGTTTCATTCCTGTAGTTGCTGAAGGGGATCTCTAGTGTCCAGCAACAGTAATATCATCAAGGACACTATGTAGCCAATTTATTTCTCAAGGATAGTATCCTACACGATAAATTATTCTTCACTTTGGGTATGCACAAAGGATTAAGCCAGAACCTGTAATGTCATAAACAACATTTTATTAATTGCTATTAAAATACATGCTTTCTATAATAATGGAGAAATATAATACTTTTCAAAGATAAACTTAGTTTTCCAGGACCAGAGTTCTTATTACTTGATATTAATTATGATTTAGTATGTTGTTAAAAATTACAGTTACATCTCATTCAATGAAATGCAACTTTCACTTTCAGTGAGATAAGCAGCATAAAATATGTGAATTTCCATCAACTTAAGAGAATTTTTATTTCCATTTATAAGCAAAAAAACTGTTGTTAAGATGCAGAGTATCAATAGTAATAAGTCCAGGATGTCTCTATTTGGCTGTCCATATTCAAGTGCCAAAGATGCTGGCTGTATTACAGAGTAATGGTGCTGAATTGTGACAGTCCAATCGATTCAATGTATCAATCAATTTTACTTTATAATCCATACAGAAATATACTTTGCGTACATTGCATATTTGTTTTAAAAAATCATAAAAATGAATAATAGTGACAAAAGAATCAAAATTATCCCATCACAGAGATATAACTTTTGACTAAAAACCATTCCAATGCAAAAAAAGTCATTAAGTGAGTACCAACTTGAATGCAGATCCAAAAGGGCACTGATGAGTTCATGATCTACCTTTCCCTACATCTAAGATATGGTAACCATTCCCTGAATGCAACCAGTGGTAATTCTGAGGCAAGGAGTGATCGTCATTGTTAATGATACTTTTCTTTTGTTAAAATTCTTCAAGAGCAACTTCACCATCTCTGAACACATACAAAATCCAGGCCATTGATATTTATTCTTAGAGCCCATCACTGTAAATTTTAATGTTCGGAAGTGATAGTAACTAATTTGTACGTACAAAGTACAAGATGTCATCCATCAATAATAGTGATACATCTTTGACTATAATGTTTGTCACTACTTATCTGTGGAACAGTAATATTGAACGGATATTACATCTAGAATTCGGCATTTAAAGATCTTTACTCACAAAGTGTGTCACAGGTAGTGATCATTTATACTCTTATTGTATACCACTGACAATATGAGGAGAACATTTTTTTCTTTGTTAATTTGTTAGAGAAACAAGAAGCTTCTGTAAAATATGTGAAAACTGGCACATTTTTAATGGCCCAACAATTGTTTGTTCTGATTCAACCATCAACAGTGATTTCCAATGAGACAGTCTGACAATATAAGATAGAAATAATTGATCTTTGTAAGATTCCATCTTTTCACCACCAGGGGGAATGCATTCCTTTATCTTCCCTGTACTACATTCTGGGTAAAGTGAGTCACTGGAATTGACGTGCTCTGTAGCTACTCTGCCTAAAACCTTTTATGGAAATTTTGACCAATAGCTAAGAGTCAAAATGTGCTGGAGATTCTTCTCAACTGGATACATCTTGTAACTGCCAAAATAATGATCCTTTCATTAAATTATTTCACGTGCTCATTATTTCAAACCGCAGTGAAAAGCTAAAATTTGAGCTTTCTTATGTTGAATCCTTACCATTAACTATTTATTCATTGAGATGCTATTAAACTCTCTTTCAGGGAGCGGATGTCCCCTCTGTTTAAAGCATGATTGCTGCTTGTGATATTTACCATGTTGTACACCCCCTTTCTTCATTCTTTGTGCAAGAGATGATACGAAAAATATGATGTAACCAAGCTCTAAAAATATTGAGGTGTACTATTTCCCATTTTATTAAACACATATTTTCCTATTTACTTATTGGAGCTAAAGATGCCCTGATGTCCTTCCCTCTCCTGGCATTTTATAGTTATAACCCAGTGTAAAGAATAGACACCTATAATCAATATTGGAAAATCGCATGAATGCTGGATTCGAGAAATGACAGTCTGAGATTTCGAACCCTAGCAGGGGTTTGGCAAGGGTCTCTTTTATATTCCACTTTTACTTCTTCCATATAATTATGAACCCTCAGCAAAGGTTAATACTACACCCCTTATTTAAGGTTGAGAAAGACTGATATTTGGCCTCTCGGTGAATCAAGCGAGCGAGCAGGAAAGTGAACTGATGTTGAAAGATCAGCTGTGGTCATATTGAATTGCGGGGCAGGCTCAGCGGGGCTCATGGTTTACTCGTCTTCCCACTTCTTATGTTCTGAAGCACAAGCAAGGAATGATCGATGACATGTTGGACTTGGGGAAGAATTAATGTCAGATTTCTGGGACCTGCCTGGCTCTTCAGGTTGACAGGCATGTCACCCTCAAGCAAGGTGATGCCACCACCTTCCTCTGCACCAGTTCACCTGCCCGCTCCACTGCGTCCCTCCACCTTGATGGCAAAGCTCATTCATGGACTATGATAGTGAGAACTGAAGTACAGGAGAAGTGGAATGGCAGGTGTTATTTTTGAAAGAGGGATGCATCAAAATCACCAAGGAGCTTTTCATTCCTTACCATTTCATATTTTTCTCCCCATGTTCAACTGCATGATTGGAAAGAGGGAAACAGTGAACTATCAAGTACAGTGGAATTCCCTTCCTAAGGGTATTGTGAGTCTACCTACAGTACGTGGACTGCCTCAGTTCAAGAAGACAGCTCACCACCACCTTCTCAAGGGAAACTAAATGCTGGCCACCCAGTGATGCCCACATCCCATGAGTGAATAAAAGCAAATTGTATCCAAACGCCAGTCCTGTCCCATCTAAAATGGATTGCATAGGGCACAGCATCACCCTTATAGCCTGCTTTCTTAACTCTTGTTTATACAGTGGAAACGGTGAACAAGAAACTCCAAGAAAACTTTGGAAAGAACCTCACCATAACTGCACACAAAATGGAAAATAATGAAAACAGGAAATTGAACTATTTTTTATCTCACATATATGATGTAGCAATGTAGCCTCATTCTGCAGTTAGATGCAGTTAGGTAGGACTGTTATCTGGTTGTATTTGGCCACACATAGAATTCCTAAGCTCAGCCCTGATTTGAAGGAATTCAGTTGCGCTTCTCCAGTAGGGCCAGGATGGAAGGTCATACAAAATAACGTTGATGCATAGGTAGTTGAAAGTAATAATGTTGTAAGTAATTAAAGGATTTATTTTATTATCTCCATCAATTTTTTTTTAAACAATATAGAGAGAACAGCACCACACATACAGACAGTACCAGAAACCACACACACACACACACACACTCATGCATACACAGAAACCACCACTTTCAGGTAGAGAGAGTGACACACAGCAGCAGTGGTGTCACTTGGAACTGTTGTAATGAATTACTTCACAATTCATGTCTTTATAATAATGTGATTGAAGATTTAACAAACTGTCTTGCATGCTGTCTGTACACACTGACCCACAGTGCAGCTACGGCTGCAGAGCAGTCCTAGCCCACCGCATCTGATTGTAGAATGTGGTTACATTGACAATGCACCATCAAACATTCCTCACTTATGTTTCAGAACATAAGAACAGGAGGAGGAGGAGTAGACTTCAAGCCTGCTGTGCCAATCATTACTGATCTTCAACATCAGCTCTAGTTACCTGCTCACTTGCTAGATCCCTTAATCCGTGAGACATCAAATATCTATCTCAGCTTTAAATATAGGGATGTTAAGTGAGAGGGAGACATAATTGAGGAGTCAGCTTTGATGAGATACTCACCCACTTCTTGCCACATCTTTAACTAGATGGGGAGTAAGAAGTGGGCTCTGAGAAATATACCCTGCCTTGTCTCCAACCCCTGCTCCCCATGACCCCACCCATTAGAAGAGCATAAGCTTTCCTTACCTTCTCACCTCTGGATATCCCAAGTA